GTGTTAAGTCAAAACCATTTGTTGACACTTGCCTTCATTACCCATCCATATCTAATGGGTGGTTAACGACAAGTGAACGCTAGTTTTTCTTAGATTATAGTACGTATAAGTGTGTCTGTTACGTGGATACGTCATCAGTACAATAAGTAACAGAAGTATTACATTTTATAATTATAATATTCTAAGGACGTCAATGTTCAAATGTATAATAAATAAATGATAAAATTTGTTCTTCTATTTTGTGCTATTCCCGACATGTTTATTAAATTTCATTCAAATCTATGTAATCATAAGAAAAGGAATATTATTATTACAAATAAACAATGTCTTGTAGGATAGTTGATGCGGGAAAGTTTTGGTATGGATAGTCAGTTAATTTCTGGTACGTAGTTCAGGAATTAACACTTTCTTCGGTAATAAGATTAATGGACAATCTAAACATTTTTGTTCATGCCTGTATTACTTATCTAAGACCAAGCCACACATTACTATTATGTAAACATTGGCCGTATCAATTCGGGTCAATCAGTTGATGCCACTTATCCGCTCGTAAATGCCTTTAAATTATTTATTTTTTGATAGCAAGTAGTGTGCAGCAGGTTATCTAATAGGAATTGTAGAATATGAAAAAAAAATCATACTATCAAAATTGTCTATACATAAGTTCTATGTTATATTAGACATAAAATCTATGTCGATACAATAAAAAATAAAAATGTGTAAGGTATACATAAAGGAAGATGCCGAATGATGATGTTTCGACCTTTATGTCGCTTACTTGTGAAAACAATGGTAATTTATTTAATTCGGTTTGTTATATAAGATATATATATAAGATACTGTACTGTTTTCCTAATAAATAAAAAACAAAATCATATTCGGTCCTCAGTCTACTTGTTAATTGCAGCAAATACATATCATCTATCTATCTACGATACCAATATCGAAACGATAAGGTTGTTGATAAAACTTATTAGTTATTTGTTGAAAAAAATGTATTTGTAAGATAATCTGTGATTTATCGAATATATACAGGAGTGGCAGTAATGTGTTATCGTTATAAACAGACTTAGCTGTATAAGGGTTTTATAATTTTATAAATAGAAAGAACGTAAATGTTTAAAATAATGACCAAAGTATGATAATCGTGAGGGCTATAGCTGCAAGCTGTTACAGCGGGTATAGGTGAGCATTTAGGTACTACTGTAATTTGTAAGGCAGTAAAATTACAGTGCACGGAAGCGCCGCAGTCCTAAAGCATGAGAGGTTCCGCCAATATGTCCAGGGTACTGTTTAGGTGGCAGTCACCGGTTCTGAATTGGAAGGTTGACAGCATCTTTATCAAAACTGTATTCTTAACTAAATAAAAGTGTTTTGCAATGTCATGCAACCGTTTGGTTATCACATTCCATTTCTGAGCTTTTGAGACACATCGGTCCGAACTCCGTAAATACGATATATTCCATGACATATTGATACACAAAAGATTTTCTGAATTTTCATGCGATTTGAAGACCGGTGTCACTTGCGTAAATAATATCACCCGTCACTCATAATCAATATTAAAATACATATACAAAACTAAATGTTACGTCGTGAACTAATATATGCAAATTATGTATTGCGTATATTTTAATTAATTAATTTTGATACGCATTGAAAACACGACCTTGTTACTATGTGTTTCGTAAATTCATAACACAAGAAATATATTGGAATTGTTATTGAACGCGGAAAAGTGTTTGATGGGTATTCGCTATCCATAAGCATGTTATCAAATTTTATCTTTGATACGCCATGCTTTGTGGTTAATTTATAAATACGGTAGTGCAACAGTAGAAATCTGAGATATAAATTATCGTGCAATCGATATTTAGGTCGAACCCGTTGAGTCTACTTGAGATATTTTAATATCGTACATGTTCAGAGTCCAGAGTGGATTTGTGAGTATGTCTGTAATAATACTTTGTAGTGCTATCCACTATGATTGCATTATGTAGGTGATAAGGATTCTAGTGAAATACCAAATATAAAAGTATATTTAGTATTTATTTATAAGTTATACTTAATAATAACTATGTTATATGTTTTTTTTAAAGAAATAATTATATAGTTATGCAAATAAATTTAGAGAAAATCTAATTAAAAGCTGCGTAAAAAAATAAAGTGTTTTTTTACGAACCTTATGTATACTGCCTATTACAAAGATCGTTATCTACTGATGATGGAATGGATAAATCAATCATTATGTTAATAATAGGTATTACAATTTGATGTCCTCATGGGCATTGATTATATTATTATTAATTACGTCCAAATTTATATAATTTGTAATATCGAGACTATACTGGAGGCCAGTATATATATGTACGATAAATATGTAAATAAGTTGACGGTGACTGTCCAGTTGATGAAAAAAGTATGTTAGTGGTAAATATAATACAATACAGGTTGTTATTTTATTACAGTTTCCAGAAAGTACTGTTACAAATAGTTACTAACATGTCTATATTTTGAATGTTTATTCTAAATTCCACCGGAAACTCACATTTCATTTTACCGCGACGCTGACAGAACAAAAAAAGTAGCTTGATTGCCTGTGCTTGTGTATAATGTAACATCATACGAATTCCGTTAAGTAATCATAGCAGTCTAGATTGAACGGTTTATTTTAATTTTTTATGAAGTCATAGAGTAATTATAAAACTGATTTGCATATGTAATTATTATTTAAGTGTTGGAGAGGTAATATCTAATATTTTAGAATAATTCACACAGCGCTATCTAGTCCCAAGTCACCAGAGCTTTTTTTATGGGTACTAGACAACTGACATATATTTTTAGTTGCATAATATACATAGAAAACACAGAAGCATTATAGGGTACAGCCCTATAATTTCTCTGTAATAACATTGCCTGAAATTATACTATTTTTGATAGATATTAAATTTAAATTAAATTTAAAGTATTTGTATAATTATATAACTCAAAGGTGACTGACGTAGTGATCTATCAACGCACAGCCCAAACCACTGTACGGATCGGGCTGAAATTTGGCATGCAGGTAGATGTTATAATGTAGGCATCCGCTTAGAAAGGATTTTGATAAATTCCACCCCTAATGGGAAAAATTAACGCGAGCGAAGCCGCGAGCAAAAGCTTTTATTTGTATAAATTTTACCTCTTTAGGTAAAATTTATCTTTTTAGGTTAGGTAAAATTTTTCTCTTTAGGTAAATAGAGGAATATTTTTTGTAAAGCATGCAGAATGTATGTTAGTAGGTGGAAATATCTGAGATAAAGCAGTAGTTGCCGAATTGTCGAAATTCAACCATAATTATCTTAAATTATTAGTTGAACATTATTAAAGTTATATTGTCTAAGACTATAACTTCTATGTTTGTGTGTCTCAAATACACCATGTATTTGTAATGTTATTTTTTATTCCTTTAATGTATTTTTTAAGCATAATTAAAAAAATATTTATATAAACTACAAGTGTACGAAATTACATACTCCTCCGTTCGCGCAATATTCGGAAGGGGTACAAAGTTTTTGTTTCACGTATTAATCATTACATAGTATAAAACATAGTCGCTGTCGCATTCTGTCCGATGCCGTGCCCGACCCGTGCGAAGCCGGGGTGGGTAGCTAATATAATGATATAATACCTACTAGCTAACTTGCAAATTACATTGTTGCTCACAGGTAACATAACGATTTTAGTAATAAAGTATTTCAATAAATTGATTGCTGTTTATGATTCTAGTTTATAGTAATTACAGGAAATCAATGATTATGATTACATAATATTAATTCAACAATATTTCTTGTCGGTTTGTTCTATATAGCCTTTGTCGACATCTGTTAATTAGTTGTAAATAAGTGTTTTAATACTCATCAATTCATCACAATGGAAATTCAACAGTTGGGAATTGATAATTGTATAATCATCAATCATCATTAAAAAAAACTGTTATTATAATATAGACACCACGTCAGTCGCTGTAAATTTATTCTCAGATTGATCTCAGGCAAACAGAACTCTCATATTGATATATAAGAGTGTTATCTGTAGACTCCTAAAATAAGACGACTGACATAAAAAATTTTTTTGTAGTTTGAAAATTTAATGTCGAATATTTTTTTTGATTTTACGTTTTTAAACACCAACTAGTTTTTCCTACATTGATAAATTTAGTCTGTGGTTAATATTTTATCTATATTAACCACAAACTCTATTTATATATGTCCTTTTTTAAATAGATAAATATGGAATGTCAATCATGTTGTGTTACTAACATAGGCTGTATGTTTTAACAATCCTTACTAATATTATAAATGCGAAAGTAACTCTGTCTGTCTGTCTCGCTTTCACGCCAAAACTACTGTACCAATTTATATGTTTGTATGGAAGTATTATCATTTTTAAATCTAGAAGCATGAAACTTGTTTTTTATACTGTTGATTAAGTATAAATAAATATGACATTCATAGTTTGTAATAATTTTGCCTGTAAGGGGGTAACATTTTAATATAATAAAATAAGGTATGAAAGTTGTGGAAATTCGTAATCTTTGAAGTTGCACGATGAAACTTTTTTCTTTGGCTTTTTTGGGTTAGATTATTGAATACGAGCACAGCTAGTGGTATAATATACCTGACTTAGTATATTGATACCAATGGGGCAGTCAGGTAGAGCTCCACTGGATCCGCCCTGGAAATTATCGTAGTTAATACTTAGACAGTCGCTCAGGCCGTGGCTAACTGACTTGACTTCATTTTGATTACATCATCTTGGTACTCCGCCAGTGTATATAAACCTAAGCCTAGTGTGCCATTAGAGCAGGCGAGTAAAACGTTACATTATCATTTATTAAAAAAGAAAGCTATATTTATCACATACGAGCAATGCCGCGGTATGGTTATAGTAATTAATAATCGTACATTTGTTTGGTTTTTAGTAAAGATGTGTCATGTAAAATTATCTTGTTGTTACAGATTGCTACAAAAATATGATGTGGTGCTCTTACAAAGTGGCAGTTCTGGTGTTGCTCAGCGCGCTCTGTAAAGGACAATTGCCCGAGGATGACTTCAGGATAATAAACAGCCAAGGTAGCGTTTTCCATACTATTTAGAGTCCGTAAAATACAATATTTTTAGTGTCGAAAATACGATTTCTTGCGACTGTCGGCAATATTAAGCGCATTAATATTCTTACGTACTGTGTATTCCTTTTTAGTTTACAAACGATTCATTGTATTATGTCCAGATGTTAAAAAAATCCTCATAATATCTTCTTGCAATATTTATTTCAAAACAGGTATATATATATATATATAATATATATAATTGGGAAAATTAGGGAAAATTGGTATAATTGACAACATTCTTTTTGAAGTCTGTTGAGAAGAAACATTTTTCAAGCAAGTTGGTACTTATAATAAACTAGATCACAAGTAGAGTTTGTCTGCGTCACATTTGCCCCATTTTACAATATATTTCATTGATGTTCCACTCATATTGGTCATAGCGTGATATTTTTTGGCCTAGGCCTATCCAACAATAAAAGTCTTATTGAATTAGAAACTTTCAAACACCTGAGATCTAAAAATTTAATATAGATTCGTAAATGGTAATGTCATTTTGGATAATTTCTCCTTATTAGTGTTTAGTATCATAAAGTGACTGGCTATACTAAACGTAATTATAACTTAGTTCTCAGAAACCATTATGCATGTTTATAAATAGTTAAAATCGTTCTCTGATGTTACGAAGAGTCATTCTAACAAACTATGGTTTAAACCCAAATCCGGCTTATCTTGTCTTATCTCGATTACAACAGTTCCTGCATTTACGATGCAATGCTAAAATCTTTTATAATACTTTGTATTAGACCAAAACTACTACAACGACCAAGGCGAGGTTTAAGAAATTTTATTTAATATTTTCCTAATTTGTTTGTAAATGAGGCTTTATATTCAAGTTTATGTATAATAACAGTTGGACACAGGCATTCTGCCATGAGCGAACCTTCGCTGTCTGCAATCAAGAATATCTATATAATAGGGTTGTAAGGTGTTGTTTCATTGGGAAGATAATATCTTTAAAAATTAATAAAAAGTCCCTGTAATAATGTCACTATATATATATAGTATATATTACGTACCAGATATATTTTTATGAATATGAACGGGAAGTTAAATATGCAATCTGAGTGTAACATGAACATAAGTTTTGAAAAAGACACGTGCCTGGTAATTCTCGCCTCGAAAATCCCTGACCAGCGGTTCTGTGAATACTTCTTTATGTTGTAAATAAGTATCTATTTACAGACAGGAGGACACTACAAAATTATAAAGTATTTGGTTATTGTTTTGGCCATTTTGACAGTAAAAAGTCTTGTTTTTCGATTTAACCCGCGGCTCTGTTATATGTGGTTATACTATAAGGCCTGGTTTGTTCTTGATTCTTACCTTACCAAAATTGCCAATTTCAACTTTACTGTCTAGTGTAAAGAAGTAAAATCAGGTAATATGGGCTTGTTGATTTAAAGTCCTATTTGTTTTGTAGAGGTCGTCCCGCTTATTTACCGTCGAGCATTAATTAACAATCATAAAAGCATTAAATATTTGCCGCAAAACGGCCATTAAACATATTGTATGTAATATGTTTGGACAACTGAAATAACGTTTGCTTTGCAAGACCGTTAATTTATTTGTCTGTTTGTCTGGAGGTACGTTAGAATTTACACCTTTTTGGAAACCGTTCACGAGAATTAGTTGGCTTGTGGGTTAGAAAAGTGTAAAGAACATGATTTTTCTCTATTATTCGGAAGACTTGTCTACTCGATACTAACAGTTGTAATAAAGTTTTACAGGCTATTGTGATTATGGTCTATCTAATAGCATCCCTCATTAAAGTTGAATCGTTAAAATCAGAATAATTTGCCTAAAATTAGAAAGTTTTACCATTATTTTGCCAGATTGTCTATTTGCTACATTTTTTATATAAACAATAATGTTAATTCTTTATTGTTGATTATAGATTATAGGAGAATATTGTATTATTTACCATACGATAATGCGATTCAACCATTATCTGCAGTCTGAGACATCCGATATTGATAATGATTTATAAACTGATTTGAATTAAACGCTATAATAATTTTAATGTATTTCAGATCTACTATCATCGAATTTGGATATCTTTGAAGACAGGAACAGTAATTCATTTTCGCAACTGCTATTCGATGTAGCAAGGGACCAGGTGATCGTGGGCGCAAGGTGAGTGCCTTGACTATTAATACCGCGGTTCAGGTTGCTTGTTTCGAATAACTATTAATATTAATACCAAATACCGAAGTGGATTTGGGCGGATTTATATTATTTTATGGTCCATTATAATGCTAGGAAACGCCGTACCATAATTCGTAGTATTGGGACTTAGACAAACCTGTCGCGAGACATTCAATATTGGATTAATATAATCTCTATGATCGTCGCGTTCGTTTGTGGTTTGTAGTTATGGAAATTATTAGTGCGTAATGTTGGTTCATGATTTTCATAGTGAATATTTATAATATACTACGTAAAAATATCTACGGAACAATAAATAATTTTATAGTTATAAATATGTACGCGAAAATAGTATAGCATAAAAAACAACATTATTGTACGTTGTTTCATAACTTTTCCAATAGAAAAGTTGTGAAGCAACAATGATTGATGGCGTTGAATTGGACGGAAATTAGGGTAACTGTTTTAGACCCAATTTCTTATGTGTGATCTATATATTCATAAACTTAAGTTTTAAATTGTGAAATATATCAGGCAACTTCTCGATTGCAGTACACTAGATATGCTAGGTGTATTTCAATTACTGGCCCTCATATTGAACTGTACATTTATTAGGTAAATAAATACACTTATGTCACCGGGTTCGTAATAATCAATAAATTAATTACTGGACTTCTCTGGAATGTGTCCGTAATATTTTATCCATATGGCTTCCTGGTTGGAAACCTAGTTTATGTAGAATTAACAATGTAACGGATCTTTCATCAACTACCTCACATCTAGCAGTTTTACAATGTTTATGGTCCAAGGCGGGGACGCATGCGACCAGTGTTGCCAGCAATGTTTGAGCAAGCTCACTAGAACGGTCACCAAACAGTAGTTATCTAGTAAGAAAACCATCAAACCAAAAGGGGTCTTTGCTGTACTTATTTTGGGTGACAAGGGGGTTGGGGGAGTCTGGAGGATGATTATATCATCGGTAATTATTTACTTTTTTACTCGTATGGCAACCCATCACATTGTGTTTGTTAAAAAGAACAATACATTAATTTAAATGTTTACGTAAGCATGGGGGGAGGTGGTAAGAGTTTTGCTTACTTTTGCTGACAAGGGTTGCCTTTTCATTACCCGATCCACTAACGACGAAATAAAAGTTTGTTAAAAAAAATAAGCATCAAATTCAGCAGATTTAGTGCTGCACCCACTAAGGTGGCAACACTGCACGCGGCACGTAAATCATAAGCTCGTAAAAAACGTTAATGTAATCATAATAATATTTAATAGCCGTAACAGTGCGTATCTTGTATAGTCACAGATTACTTAATAGCTAGTTACTTTGTGGACAGTCAACAAAAAATATATACGAGTTAAATATTTATGGTTCTTGGGTAGAGCTATATAAGTTGTGTTTCCTTTGTTTGATTGCTACATATTTTGAGTGGGTTGAAACTAATGGTTTTGATCAAATTGGCGTTCTTCATAGAATAGAAAAGAAATAATCTTTTGTTTAACAATTTTATTTTCATTATAATTCTACTACCGTTCGATGCTATTATTAAGAGCCAACAGGATTCAATATTTGTATGAAATCTGTGATTGTTCCTTTATTTGGTTGAATTGTGGCGAATATAGCTCGGTATATTTATTATTAGACAAACATTTAAGCCAAATATATGGCATAGAAAGTTTAAAAATTCCCGCAAAGGTTAAACTGAGATTTTTTAAAGTTATCTATTATTAGAAGTATTGACAGCACTAAGATCAGGGTCAATATCGAAGCAGATGGAGGTATCGCCATGGATAGTGTCCTGGATCGCCTTATGTTGGGGCTAATTTAAAGTGTATTAACATCATAATTGTTCCAATATTGACATTGATTTTAGTGTCGTGTGTAATCCGTTTCATTTGTCTTATTTATCGTATAAACTATATACACGAATGGAGATTAGTCAAAGATAAAACGAGAAAAGTGTACACTCAATCGAGAAATTTCGTCAGTACTGTTTTGAATTATTTCTTGCCGACTGTATGCGTGGTGTTGAGTCACAACACAAATTGTCGCCAGTGCAGTGTAGGTACAGTGATATAAGATAGCGTGGGGTTTATCACAACGGAACAGGTTACAAGGAATGTCACTACACTAATGACTACAATTTTATCTTATTTGAATCATTAATTTGATTACAAATTATTACAATCTGCGTTTAAGTTACACATAATCACTGTAGCTATTATTTTCACACCATTTGTGACAACACTCTACAATAATAATTATAGATATTTAATCAAATTGTGTCTATTTATTTTTCTTCATGTACACGAACAGACATGTAGAAAAATGAACAAGAGGGTAAGACACAAAAGTTACAACTGAGTTAACTAGTTATTAATTGTTGTCATATTATCAAAATGTTTTTGTACGTAATGTATTGTAATTATAAGCACTATGTGGATTACACAACTTTATTTGATTATTTTTTATCTAAATACTCGCATAAAAGAAATATAGAAGTAATATAACTATAGTGAATAAATTTTCCTGCGACTTTGTTTGTTGTTTTTTAGATACAATTTAATGCCAAATTTAATTAAGATACTGTCAGTTGTTTAGTTGTAAAAATGTAACAACCAGATGGATAGACAAACTTCTGAATTTATAAAGTCAGTATGTTTGTTGGTATGAAAGCAAATGTTGGCGTTGTGCGGGGATCGAGTCCAAGATAGACCATGAGGGAGTGTGTTAAACCATTGTGTGACCAAGGTCATAGAATATTATGCTAGTTGTCTGACATTGGCGCAAACTGTGACCAAAACTGAAACTGCGGTCGTAAATATAGTAGTAGAAACTACTTAAATTGTGTGATTTATTATTGATGATTTCATCAAATCGGACCGTCAGTGTATTGGACATTCTATTGAAGTGAATACCTAATGTTTGTTTCTAGAACTTATATCTATTATTTTTGGGGCACTTATGGGGGGAAAGAGGAAATGTATTTACACTGTACCTTTAGTTTTTTTTTGTGGACAACGATGAAATGGTGCTGGCCTATGCTAAGGTATACGTTCCCGGGACACCAGTCAAGGTTACTAGGATGAGAATGAAGTTAGGTCATCGTCCTAGTTGGTTTCCATGATACACTAATAGGCACATGGCTACGACTAATGACCATAACTAACAATCTCCCACCCTTAACATTAGTAGAACTTAGTTGGAGGTCTGACTTCAAGGTTAGTAGTCCACAAATACAATTTGTAAATATTTCATATGATAACCCCTAGATAGGTCAGAAGGTTGCGCTCTGTTTATGGTCTTGTTTTCCGTATTTTTTTTTTAAAGATCTAATTAAATGTATGTTTTTGCTTTGGAATTAGTTTGATATCAAAAGCTAACAAAAAAGTGGCAACTATTGCTTTTTCCCCGTATTCATACAACATATATAGTATTTACATAATTTGTATACATACATTATATTATATTGTAAAATAATCGTGATGATTTTATTATCGAGAGGTACCTGAGCGACATATTTAGTTGAGTGCGGCTTTTTATTGAATATCTAATTTTTTCCAAGACATTAAAATTATTAAAAATAAATTATTTAAATGAAATATAAAAAAAATTATATACAATATCAGGATAAGTGGCATGACATCTTAACTCTTTGGCAACACATGTGTGGTATTCCGGGTGTCACATAAGTATATGATTTTCGTAGTATTTATGTATATATGCAACGGTCACCGCTTACCATCATGAGCCGACAGCCATTCCAATTTATTACATACATTATATAAAAAAAATTACGTGTATCGTCTTTATTATTAACTGGGTGTTAGAATTAATAGTCGGTATATCGTGAATGGTTGGTACGACGATAGTAGGCAAGTTGATGACCGCTTTTTAACACACCACCTGTATACTTGTTTGCTCTCGGAATTCAAGATTACGACAATAGGACGTGTGTTCCTAGAAATTCAATTCGACTTTTATTATCCATTCATGGTTGTTCTCCGTTCTGTTGTTTTTTGTGTTTTAGAAATTCCACAGATACATAAATGTGAAAGTTTTTAAACGTAGATAAATTTTACATGTTCATTGTTTATACGTAATGTTAATTAACAAAATAAACTAAAAAAGTTAATGGAAAGTATATTACTTCTACATGTAAAGTTATATGAATATGTATGCTTTACCTTCATCTCAACAATACGAATAAAATATGGAAAAAACTAATTCTTTTATCTGTTTAGTTTTACATTCACGTATTATGTTTATTTAAGTTGTATTCATGTATGTTACATACTATAGCGTTTGTAATATATAACAAACCACAGAAAAACATGTTCAAGGTTTGTATTCGTTGACTGTTGCCAATATTAAAAGATCCAATTCAACTGAAGGGTAGCATGATTTTGTAAAAAAATAAACTTGTTATTTACCCCTAAATACAATGTCATAATTTATAAGATTTAAATGAATTCGCTTTTACAAGAAGGTTATTAATGAACCTAATTTATCACACATGTTTATGTTACTAGTACTTAATATTTAGTTGATTAAAGTAATGTAAATGAAACGGGATTTATCATTTCGCAGTAACGGTACCTATTTCAAATTCTGTTTTATAGTTACAAATAGTACTGTATAGTGTAAATGATGCGGCGAGGATCAAAAGTCGTGGAAATATGAGTGTTTGCTCTAGAATGTCAATACACCGACACTTGACTGCTATTAAAACAGTTTGTGTACGCAAGTGGTCAAGAGTTTAAACTCGTTTACATACTAATAGTTCCACTTGTACATTATTTTCGCTACTTTCGCCTAGACTTGTAAGAGGACAGCATCCGCACTTCAAGAACTAGATTGCTCTCGAATAATATCGAGGTATACGGGTAATTTTAATTAATTTTTCGTGAACATCCTGTCTCAGCCAAGATGAGATATATAGCAACATTCATATAGTAAACAGATGATTAAATAAATGACAATATATAATAAACAAAAATAAATAAAAATAACAGTAATCGAACAATTTGGAGCACGGTGTTGTATCAAATAAGCCCGTACAGCATACGACGAGGTGCCACGGCGGTAATTTGCGGATATAGGTACATGAATATATATTTATTTGCAGTCGTTTTGGTTGTACCTATTTAATTTATCAATATTTTTACCTCATTACTAGTGACCACTAGTAATATAATATATTATATTTAATATTCGCCGATAAATTATTTTAAATTGTAAATTTGAACATTTTTGAGGTTCTATTGTTAGACTATACTTCTATGCGTGTGTGTCAAATATATGTTAGTATGTACACATACTACCATGTTTTTTTGTTGATTAAGTATAAGTATATACTTCCTCCAACCCATTTTTCTTAAAAAAGAGTATAAAAGTTTTGCTTCACGTATTATACTATAGATAATATCTGAAACGATTATCAGATATAAAATTGTTTTCTTTAAGCAATCTTTTGTATCCTCTACTTGTAAAGACTCGAAAACGAATAAGTAATATTTAATATGCGCAACATATAATCTTTCTTCGTTACTAATTATATCAATTACTTACGTGTCCTCATTATTACTAGTAACCGTCTGCAGATAACCATTATCTGATATGAGCCACTGAAGTTCATCCAAACTTAGCTATGATCGATGAGAACATACATTACATACAACACACACAAAACTAATTTACTGTAAGTATTCCGAGAATGATTTAAGTAGGTGTAATTAGTGCCTCGAATAAGGTGTGTTTAAAATGGAAGTTGTAACCTTTAATTTGTATAGTTACTAGCATAGTATTCTGTTATCTCTGATATGGTTATATCATTAGTGTTAATTGGATAACAATTACATGTTTATAATTAGATTTTTAAACATATTTTTAATTACTTACCATTCTATCACTAATTAATATTTTTATTTATATCTGCAATTCATTATCGCAGGCTGAACACGCAACATAAACCGTGTTAATGGTTTACGCTTGCTGGCATTAATTATATAAACTATTTAATAATGTAGAGACGGTATGTAATTAAATAGAATAAAAAGTAAGTTCAAACTCTAAAACTTGATTACTAAAAAAGTCATCAAAAATAACTGCATAAGTTTCAAATTTTATCATTATAAGTGGCAACCTTCTAATATCTCATCTTTTTTTCATCGTGTGGAAATATCTTCAAAAGACCATCTTTATGGCTGTATACGTACATAAATATATTGTATAGGCAGCGCGCATGCGAAGCTGCGCGCGCAACTTAAATATGTCACCTTGCTTGTCTCATATAAAATTAAATTAGATAAACGTTTGCTTTGTTATTTTATTTAAATATATATAAATATAATCCAGATCAAGCCCATATCTTTCCCAGATGGTTGACGAGGGGGTGTATGGAATTCTTACCCACTAAAAATCCACATGACGTACCTTTAAGCGTCATAGCCGGAGTCATGAGGTCGCGATAGCATTCTACTGCAACTTCGGCGGAGTTGGTCCGCCCTGTATGTTGTTTAGAGCAGGCCCCATATCGTTGTTAGGGCGACTTATTTTGCACTAATCATTTGTGGAAGAGTATGGGATGGGGAACCCTTCACTTTTACTTTAACCTTTAATACGTTTTACAAAATAAGGTGTTTGGCGGCAAAAACACCCATGCAGATTTTGTACAAAGAATGACTTGATAAAAATATATGGTATTTAAGACGTTCAGAGAATAGCCGTAGTCATTTCCTCTCCTAATACATTGGTAATTCAATGATCCACTTGATGGTCGATACATAATCCGTTCACTTACTACCGTGCAATTTAAATCAAGTATCGTATTACTGTATGGCTAAGCTGAGTATTGGCACTGTAGTTCAACACCTGATATTTATAAATATGATATTCAAATATATACTGCAAATAATTTTAAGAGATAATAGATGATATAAGTGATATTGCAATATTTTTACATAGTATGTCAAACAAGTGACGACCCACTTTATCGTAAGTGGTGACCTTGACTAAGATGCTGTAATTTTCTGTCTTTTCTCAGCTCATAACCGAAAAACTTTACAAGCATTTAGCAATGCGCTTGTCGGCTAAAATAGGAAACGGTAAAGTACTCGCCCAGATGCTTTTTACAAAGCCTGCGTCGGTAAAATTATATTCGGCAATCCTAGTGTGACCACACTAATTATGTGAACTATGCACTTACTGTTTAGGAAAAATGGCGAGAAACTCCTTCACACTTGTTTAGTGCAAAATTTAATTCATTTTTATTTTTTAATTTTGTTCCTGTCTTTTTAATGTTGGTCCATAAAGTGTTATACATACTTAAAGAAATAATTACATTATTGTTATTTGAAATACATATGGATAGGTATATTTTTAGTCGTGTATACCGTATAATAGAATTAACGCATTTCCTTGTGGAATTTAATTAGTTTTTGCACTTTTGGATTAATTAAATTTAACTACGTGTTTATAATTATCATCGTAAACAAATATAAATACTTTGCAGTTTGGAATATTACATGTTTATTTGCAGATTGTTGGTAAAATTAGGTATCAAAAGTAGGTATAGGATAATTAGTCCCTTACCTGCTTAATGTATGTTACATACTATAGCGTTTGTAATATATAACAAACCACTGAAACATGTTCAAGGTTTGCTTTTCAAGGATATGTAGTATAAGTTGTTATAAAAGTAATCTAGTTTAGATACCTATATGTACTAATTTATCAGTTTCTGAAATAATTGCATTTTTTTTACTTAACACAATTCTACCGAACTTACGAAAATAGAGTCAGGGTTCGGTTTTACGTGTACTAGGATTAGTAAACTTATGCTTACTGAGTTTACAATAGGGAAATTAATTAATGAAAATAATCTATCGAATATATATTAATATACCTAATTAGATTTGTTATTTATATAATTCTAATGGCAAACAAGCAGGTAACCGTTGTCTATAAACATGAACAGCACTATGGACATTACGTTATCCTGTGACGTCTGTGATACCGCTCAGGCGTTGCTATACCGGAGGGCTAAGATACCTCCTTAATCTGTAATTTCACTGTCTTATTTTAACAATTCAAATTACATCTTCTAAATGTAAGTTGGGCTCTATTATACCCATTTAGCCGTTCATTTGGGCCATTATGCCTATAAACCCAAGAAATCTTACAAAAAGTACTGCTTGGTTGAAGACTAAGGAGAGATTGGGGTATTAGATATACATATATACACATACGATTTTTTAAAAATCTGTAGAAAATCTCACCTGACATGTAACTTGGGTAACAAGTATACTGCTCTGATGTATTTACATCAGAGCAGTAAAATGTGGTAACAAGAGATATTCGATATATTTACCACTACGATACTGTTCGCAAGCGTATAATGTTTCACGTCTATGTATATTGCATTGGAGATTTATGTAGATGTCTGGCATTGTCACTTGTTTGAGATTGGATTGCAAATAATAGTGTCAATGTCTTTGATTGTATAAACACTACTTAGTCGGTGGGTTTATCAGGCATGTACAATATGTACATTATATTATTATACAATTATAATACCATCTATCCACAAAAATCTGTAATTCTTATTGTCTTACATGTGTCTGCTTATAAGATAAGAAATTTAATTACTACGACGGACGGCGAAAGGAGCATTTTTATTCAGATGCTGGGTCTATTCAGGTGCTCTATTCAAGTGTTATGTTCTTTAAATAAAGAACTTCAGCAATTTATTTTAATTATTCAATCAAATGTTTATGACAAAAACTTCTGTAACAAGTATTTAATAATCAAAATTAATAGTGCCGTTTACATACTGGTTTAAAATCATATCGAATACTTTAAATTGCCAAATATATCGTGTTATATACTCACTAAGACAATTTCTACAACACTACATTTGAAATGTTTTCTTCTACAGAGACGCTATTTACCGACTCACGCTTCGTGGACTGCGGCTGATAGAAAAGGCGGACTGGCCTGCAGATGAAACTAAGATCAAACTATGTCAAGAGAAGGGCCAGACTGAGGAAGACTGTCACAACTACATAAAAGTCCTCCTGTCTCATGGACACAGGTTGTTTGTATGTGGCACTAATGCGTTCAGTCCGGAATGCAGTTGGAGAGAGGTGGGTAGCCACTGCAGTCAGCAATAATAGTATTTATAGCATATCTCTTAAAGTTTCACATCCTGTTTACATGATTAAAATAGTTGATTCATTTTATTAATAGCACATAGATTACTATATTTTAACTTTGCACATCCTGTTTATATGGTTTAATTACTTTATTAGTTTTATTTAAAACAAAACAGTGCACATTTTTTTGTAAAATGAAATTAGAAGTTTCCTTGTTATGAAATTAATGTATAATGTGTTAAGTTTTAACAACATACTTTCGTTATTTTTTTTTATTGCATGACTTACAAAATTATAGCACATATCTGAAGTATTAAATATTATATTTTATTAAGAAACTAGCTACTCGCCTCGGCTTCGCCCGGGCGTACATGTATTATACATATAAACCTTCCTCTAGAATAATTCTATCTGTTAAAAAAACCGCTTCAAAATCCGTTGCGTAGTTTTAAAGATTTAAGCATATTTAGAGACGGACAGACAGCGACCGCGACCGCGACTTTGTTTTATACTACTTATATAATAATACTAATAATTATCCAGGAGAATTACTACTAATAAGAGCTTGTGTTATGTATACTAGAGAACTAATATACTTAAATACATTTTTTTTGTAAATACGTATGTAAAATTAATAGCAGACACCCAGACCTATAAAAACTGATATTCATGAATACAAATGTTTGCACTGCGCGAGGAATCCATCCCGCGACCGTTGAAACTAAAGCAATGTGCAAAATCGCTACACTACCGATGCCGCCAGTGCCCATGTGGGGATCTATCTATGTACTATTATTTATTGATTTTCTTTGTTAATTAGATTGAGTCAATCCGCAACTCATCGCACCTCATGACAGGAGTCGCCAGCTGTCCATACAATCCTCATTCGAACGTGACCGCAATATTGTCCACTAGTGGGGAGTACTATGCTGGAACGCCCACTGATTTCACAAGCTCCGACACGGCTATATGCAGGTATGACAAGTAGTTCTTGTAAACTTTGTAAATAAGTGGTCTATAAAAATCTTCGTATTTTCTACAGATATACATATCATATATGATGTAAACATAGATTTTTATAATGCGAGTGTTTTATATTGCAATAATCGGCTCCGAACCATGCTGAAACAAAAAAATATGTACATCAAAGAATACAACAAATATAAAACGAAGTTTTTTTATACGACATAAAGTGCATTGCTAAAGATGCATTGATGAAGATGTTTGGGAAACGAGAAGGCGTAGTAAGTAGATAAAAGGAGTTCGCGGTGATCGGTTGCCAACAGTTCTAATTGAGTATATAGCTAGCTTAACCCCGCGGCGCTGCTCTATAGGTGTAATACATTTGTCACTTTGTGTATACAATTTTGTACATAAAAACTGTTAATTATTGACTAATTTACTGTTAATATACTTTTGTAGAAACAAACACAAATGCACTAGTTTTTTTGCTAGTTCCTCTCATGAGGCAAACTAAAAACATAAACGGGGGATAGTGTTAAAATGGTAAAAAATATTATATAAAAATTAAGTCACAGAAAACAAGCTGTCTGTCTTCGCCTGTCTTCGCACGGGGTAGTAGAGAATTATGTTACACCTAGACCTAAACATTCCACAGGAATTATTCTGTTGATAGATGACTTTGTTTTGTAATATATATAGATGATTTTGACTGATTTTGATTTTTGTATTTTTTTTATATATAAATTCTTAACGATGTCTAACTAATAGTACGATTTAACATTGCTTTCTCAGGAGTCGTGGCGCGGGTCCGTACAATGTGACAACACTGCGCACAACCCAGTACGACCAGAATTGGTTGAATGAACCACAATTCGTTGGAAGTTTTGAAGATGATTACTTCGTCTATTTTGTATTTAGAGAAGTCGCAGTCGAATTTATGAACTGTGGAAAGGTGAGCCCACAATATCTATTTCTTTTTATTTGTTTGTAACGATAAATTTTTAAGCCCTTTTTTTAATCCTGGGAATATTTTTTTATATTGAACCTTTTGTTTTACCAGACTATCTACTCGCGTATAGCACGCGTGTGCAAGAATGATTCAGGTGGATATGTAATGGGCAAGAATAATTGGAGTACATTCCTGAAGGCCCGGCTCGAGTGTCCCGTTCGGGGCGATGTACCTTTCCATTATGACGAAGTGCAGAGCGTTGAATATATGCCGCAGGAGAAGATACTCGTAGCCACATTCACTACCCCTACGTAAGTTATGTTTTAAGCGCTAAACATGATAATAAACGGCCTCAGCGGACCGCTGAGTTTATTACTGAGGCCGTTTATTATTATGTCTGCTGCTGCTGTACACGGCTTTACTTCCAATGTTCGCAGGTTCTATTCCTTGCACTGTACAAGCATATGTATTCATGAGTATGATTGTTTGTATCGGTCTGGAAGTTTTATTTGTATAATATGTATGTATTTACAAAATGAAATTTTATCTTTCGTATTAGTTTTCTAGTACCTATAACTTAAGGTCTGCTTACCATAGGACAAGATGGAGCTGTGTTAATTGTCCTAGAGTACTTTTTACTATTTCATAGCGAGGACAGCTAGTAAATACGCCCATATTATACATAGAAACTTTTCTCTTTAATAACTCTATCTATTGCTGAAAACTGTATTAAAATCCGTTGAGTAAGTAGTTTCAAAGATCTAAGCAAACAGACAGTGGAAGCGATTTAATTTTATAATACGTAAAGATTTATTTTGTATATATTTATTTATTAGTTAATTGTTATGTTTTCTCCACAGTAACAGTATACCGGGTAGTGCAGTATGCATATATAGTATGGCAGACATCCAGGCCGCTTTTGAGGGACCATTCAAAGTACAAGACTCACCGACATCTACTTGGGAACCGCGATCTCCTTCTAATCAAGCAAAAGAACACTTCCGATGTAAACCTGATTTAAGGTATTTAATTTATATAATATATTTAGGCTTCCGCAATGAGTTAAGATGTATTAATATATAGGTATATAAAAATAGTTGATACCCGCAATTTTATCTGCTTTTTTTAAGATATTATATAGCCTATGTTTGTTCATGCGAAATTTGATTAAGATTTGTTTATCCATTTAGTTGTTAAAAAGCAACAAACAGGCAGAAAGATATACACTCTTACAAATAAGTATGGTTTATATCCATTTGTAATAACTGTCAGCTTCAACTCATAACTTCACACAAGGAAATTTGCTGAAGGATCCCAATTTTTTAGAATAAATTATAGCGTATGTTACTGGCTGGTATTGTAGCTTTCGTAATAGGTTAAAAATATCTGTAAAGCATTTATATTTTATAAAAAAATAAATCTATACTCTTTTAAATGAAATTTGTATAGGCTACGGATAGCTTATTTCAATAGATGGCCTGTTAGATCGTATGCTATAAAGTTATAAAAAAAGGAATCAAAAATATAACCAAAATATGCTGTGCTAATCTGTATTCTTTTATATATTATGATTGTTTTTTTCAGGCCCCACCAAACAATAGAATACTACCGTTACCAACTGATGTATGTGTCTGTGGTGCCTGTATCTGGAGAACCTGTATACAAGAAAACGTTAGAACGATTCACTCACGTGACAGTGGATGTCACTAGTACTAAGAACGCTGCCAGGCAATTTGTGCTCTACATATCCACCCAAAGAGGGGATATAATGAAGTTGGCAGTATTACCGCATTTCGATGGCGCATGCTTAGTGGAAGTATGGAAGCTGAGTGACTTGAAGAGTGGTTTTGACATACAAACGATGCAGTTTGTGAAGGAAACTGTAAGTATTCATTTAAAATCAAATATGTAATTATTATGAGATCTATTCTGACAAGGTCTACTGAGGAGAAGATTGTTGAACGTAATTGTTTACGAACGTTTGATGTTTAGTCTGTAGACAATAGTAGACATCCATGTTTGTACATCAATTTTGCAATGATGTCATTCCATGTCGATGATCACTCATAGTGTTCCGATCCCCGTTTGCATTGGACGGAGATTTTCTTCTGTTGGCCGCAGCTCACCTTTACAGCTTCACCGAACGATAAAGGCAAGTGCAGATGGCACTCCAAACTCGCGGATAAACTTATGTAGCGGCTAAGGTCAACTTCCGCTTGACGGTTATGATTTTAGTGTGACGGTACCACTAGGGGTTCAAATCACGGCTCAGGCCGTCGCGTTTTCGTTTCCCGTTCGAATCGGACGGGGATCGACTGGGCGTGCCGGTGATTGCGATGTATGGTGTGATGGAGGTCGTCGTCTTCGCCGGCGCGGACGGTGTCGTGCGTGTCACACACACACGACTCATAGCGAGGCAACGGGGGATCGATGTGTAAAGAGTATAAGACGTGTTGCGCGTGCAGATGTCGGTGTACGTGGGGTCGCGAGGGGGTGTGACCCGCGTGGGGGGCGCCCGCTGCGACCGCTACCGGTCCCGGTCGGGCTGCGTGGGCGCCGCCGACCCGCACTGCGCGTGGGACGACGCACGGGACGCCTGCGTGCGCCCCGACGGACGCCTGCGTGACCCCCGGCTCGTGCAGGAGACCGCCGTCTGCCCCGCCGCGCCGCCAGGTTAGCTACTACTCGATGGTCGCGAGTTCGATTCTCGCATGACAATATTTCAGGATAACACTCAGTGCCGTCTAGTCACAGGCTAGGCAGCTTGTGTTGAGGGTACTAGGCGACTGTTATAAATACGTATATACGTTTCTTTTTGTAAATACATAATATATATATCTATAGAAAATCTAGACCGATACAATCAAAAAATGTTTGTAAGGAATAAAAGAAATCGAACCCGCGACCATCGGAATCAAGGCAGCCTGCTAAACAGCTAGCTAGGTCATAGAGAATGTAAACATTTGAATCTGTTTTCCATGCATATTCCATATGTCTTTAAAAAAATATGAATAAAAGTATTTCTGTCAATAATTAATACCTGTAATTTCTGTGCTCTGGGTAAATCGTCGACTAGATGACATATTACAATAATGTTTGGAGCAGAACATTACATAGAGTAAAATGCTTACTACTGCACTAAATGTTTTATAGATTTCTATGACTAATTCATCATAATTTTAGTACACGCTGAATTCATTTCAAGAAAATAAAATTGTTTATATTGTAATATTCAGTTGACGGTGGCTGGTCATCATGGTCGAATTGGGAGGAATGCATGCAAGATGGAACCTCGCAATCTGTTTATGGAGATGACAAGCCGGCGGACATGTGTTTGTGTCGGACGCGCCGTTGTGACAACCCAAAACCGGCTCATGGTGGACAATCTTGTAAAGGTAAAATATTTAATTATTAAAAAAAAAAGATAAATGTAGTTTATACTTATTATAAAATACCTTATTTTTTATTCCTAAAATAAATATCAGTGAGGTTTACGTGCTATGTGCGTTTTTAACTATTTAATGTATAGTGGCAGATTGTCGTCGAATATATTAGTTTTATAATATTAATACAGATGTTTGTTTGTCTCTGAAGAATTTATAACATGGTCCTAGTAGCCTGAAATAAATAAAAATAAAGTAGTGAAAATCAGCTGCAGCTTCGAGGAGGTTGAGGAGGAGACCCCCACAAACATATTTTGATAAAGATAGACCTTATGTACTATAACTTAGACCTTCACTAGAATTCGTAATACAACTAACTTGACCATTTTAGAAGTTTTCAACCGGAAGGAAAGTGTCACATTGACATGTTGCTGGCTCTCGGCCTAGGCTGTTTTTACATTTATTAACATTTTTCCTTCCTGGCCGTATGTAGTATTTTATTATAAATCTTACTTTATTTTAGTGTTTTAAAGTTCCAAATCTTATATTTTATTTAGAATCTAGTGAGATTGTTCGGGTTGTACCGAAACTATAAAGATTCTGATAGGTAAAACTGATAAATGATACTGATAGAAACTTGATTAAAACTGTATATTGAAACTTAAAATATAACTGATTAATGATTGTAATGAGTACGCGCGGCGTCCTTGATGACCGAATGCGAACTGATTTTAATGAAATGTGAAATGTAAAATAAAATGTTAATGTTGCGAAATAATGTACGATGCTAGCTCGTACAGAGATTTATTGAGATTCTAGTAATTTTCCAATGTACAACAACTAGAATAAAAAAATACATAACTGACGATTAAAAAATAACATAAAAATAAATGTACATACTCAAATTTACTATAAAAACAGTTAGTAACAAAGATATCACTATAATAAACTAGATGGCGCTGTATACAAGTTAAAACTCGATATGTTTTCGTAAATGCGATTCTACTAATGTTAACTCCTAATTCGACCACGTATATAATGATCGGAGATTAGCCAGATGGCTATACGTATTTTTGAATCCCGTTTACTATGGTTTGCATAGTTTCGGGGCATAATTAATAAATGTTATTAGTTTACTTTACTACGTATGCCAATTGTCACCGATTCTTCCGATGGCAAAGTAGCAATAAACCTGCTAAATGGTTGTTTGGTATAATAATTGATAAACATGAAGGTTTGGACAAGATTACACGCGTTGTTAGTCTTAAATGTAAGGGTAATATTATTAAAAGACCATTATCTAAAATATGTTTACTGCCTGTAACAGAATAAGTTGATTTGCAATGGCAGTCTATTTTCTAAGTAAATCTGTCAATTTGTCAGAATTTGTTATTGTTTAATTAAGCTTAAAGTAATTTTGTTAAGTATGTTAATTTCTACTCATGTTTTGTAATATTTTTTATAGCATTTTTGTTTGTCTATTCGCTCACCTTTAATATTGTTGATTTTGTATGTTAATTTTATTTTTTTTGTAGTGATGAACAACTAAAGTACTGTAGTTGTCCATGGTGGGCGGTATGTACAAATTGTAATAAGTATTGGCCGTAATAGTTTACAGTATGAAATACTAGATGGCGCTGTGTCAATTCTAAAACGCGCTATAGTTTCGTTTTGATCATTACATGTATTCATTGTAATATAAAAATTAAATTGTCAATTCCTTGGTACGTCTTTTATTTGTATAATACTTCTAGAATGTTAAACATATTTAAAAGCTTAAACTTTTAAAAAATTCCTCTTTCAGTCTCTTATAACCCTTTTTAGCATTAAAAAGTAACCTATGTCCTATCTCAAGATCTAGACTTTAAATTTCATTTAAATCAGTTCAGAAGTTTTGGATTTTAAGACAGACAGACAGAGTCACTTTCACTTTCATAATATTAGTAAGGTATTTATTAAATAAACTGACCCAAAAAAGCGTAAGAAAAAAGCTTCATAGTTCTAGCTTCAAATATGACGAATTTCCATAAAAACTTTTATCTGCTATTTTATTTTACCCCTTGAATGGTGACAATGTGATATTTACAAATTTAAATGTCATATTTATTTATATTTAATAAACAGTTTAAACATTTCTTTAAATTCTTTTGTAAATTGGTGGTCCAGTTGGCCAATAACATAATAAAATTTTGTTAAATCAAAATAATAGATGTGATATTCTAAATTGCAAACTATCCCTCTACTTGCGCGAACCATATCTCTGACTCTACTGGCCAGAATGGAGAAACGCGTATTCCGAACCTGAATAGCTCGGATGGAACGGTAGATGTTGTTTCTTCCAAGGAAATGTTGTTCATATGTATTGACAACATTTTTAATATTATATGTTGTTTTATTCTTCAAAAATATTAATAATATGTTCTTACGCTCTTGTCCAAGAGCAGAGTCATCAGTTATAGGCTATACCAGAATTATATTTATGTATTTATAAAATAAAATTGCAGAGCAAACGTTTATTCATTTAAATTCATAAGGAGACAACGGATTGACAATAATTAGTTGTGCGCGCTGCTTATACAAATGACATATATATTTATTTATGACATATGAGCGTTAATAAGTCGCATATCTAGTACAATACTGGTGTAATTCAGAAATTAAACTTTTTGAAAATAGACTTAATAACACAATTATAAAGTAGACTTTCCAAAATATCTAATTTTTTAGTTAAGCCATTATTATAATAAGTGTGTATTCAACCGCATAAAGATAACCTTGCATTACCATTTTCAACCCCTTACAACCCTTTTTTTTTCGCATTAAAAAGTAGCCTATGTCCTTCCTCGGCGTCTAGACTATATGGGTACCAAATTTCATTTAAATCAGTTCAGTAGTTTTTGAGACAGACAGACAGACAGACAGACAGACAGACAGACAGACAGACAGACAGACAGACAGAGTTACTTTCGCATTTATAATATTAGTAAGGATAAGGATGTAGTTATTACCTATAAATATACCAGTTACTATACTATTACGCCACATTATTTCCTCATGGTAAATAAATATATAACAATTATATGGGTTTATATGATCGAATATACTGAGAATATAATTTAGAGCCTCTGGTTTATCGGTTTAGCATACCACCTTACAATCCGTTGATCGCGGGTTCGTTTAATTACAGCGTCGGTGGTCTAGCTGAATAGCATACCGCTATATTTCTAATGTTCGCTGGTACCTCGTGTAGTGTAAATATTTGTATTTACGAGTATGTACATTAGAATCCCGAACATTCGGATTAAATAAAACCAGGGGTATACAGATATAACACTACTTCTGCATAGCTCGGGACTAGCTTTTTTGTGAATTGTCCAGGTTAATTATTACAATTTGTACCCGTCGACTATATTAGACATTTGTGTATAACTGCAGGCGTGAGCATATCAGTGACGAACTGCACGGTCCACGGCGGCTGGTCAGCGTGGTCGGCGTGGTCTGAGTGCAGCGGCACGTGCGGCATCGCGGTCAAGTCGCGTCGTCGCGCGTGCTCGTCGCCCGCGCCGCGCCACCACGGCCGCGTGTGCGTCGGCCTCGACACCGAGCACGCGTACTGCACCAGCCTGCCGCCCTGTCCCGGTACTAGCTCGTGTATATGTGTAGCATGCGAGGCGACACGAGACATGTACCAGACACGTGCGGCATCGCGGTCAAGTCGCGTCGTCGCGCGTGCTCTAATACTTCTATTTTAAATGAAGGGATAAATGAATATAAATAACTACCGAATACAAAACTAAACCGAATATATCAATAAAAATGTCGGTATGTTCTTATCGAACACGAAATATAAATAAGTTCAAAAGTATAAGTAGATGCAAAATCCAATATGTTTGTATAACTAATTAGCTTCCAGAGTAGAGCATACCAAACATTTACGCAAAGATAACACTATAATAGTAAAATAGAATCCAATATACATAGATTTTTATTAACCATTGTTATTGTAATTTTTCAGATCCGAACCTAGTACCCGTGGACGGGGGCTGGTCGGCATGGGGCCCGTGGTCGGAGTGCGCCGCTGCGCCCCCCGGGCCGGAGTGCGGGCTCGGATGGCGCGAGCGGCGCCGCACGTGCTCGGAGCCCGCACCGCGCCACAGGGGCGCGCCCTGCGAAGGCTCCAAGCTGGACCGCCAGCAGTGCGACCTGGGGCCCTGTCAGCCGCACCACAAGAAGGCCACTGCCTGGTCGCCCTGGGTACAGATACCGAGTTAGTATTACACTCTACCATATACCATTTGACAGTTTTTATTATATTGTTTCGTATTCTATAATAAGTTGTTGCGCTTTATATATACCCGTCGCTTTTTTGGTTAGTTTTTAAATCGAGAAGATTATATCTTATGTACTAAGTATATCGACCGAAATTGAAGTTACAACTTGAGGAGCGCTCGCTGTTTTAGCGCGTAGCTAAAATGCGCGCTGTCATTTATATTTATTGATATAACTAGTAATTGTGTTGTTTCTCGTTGTTTTTCAGATAATCATTCGGACGGAGGATATACTGAACGGCGTTTTAAATTCATCTGCAAAGTTTCATCATCAGAACAGATTGATGTGAGTAAATATTGTGTTTAAGAGAATAATTCTGTATATCATAATGCATTTTAAAAAGTTTTCAATCATTAAAGAATAAGAGTAAGAGCAAAGAATAAGAGCTCGTACTATAAAAATAGTACAAGGTTATTCTTTGATGTGACAAGTATCTTTTTGTTCGATGCAGCTGTCGGTGGGGCGCGAGGAGGTGCGGTACTGCACGTCGCGGGGCGCGTGCTCGTGGTCGGAGGGCGTGGGAGCCGCGGGCCCCGCGGAGGGCGCGGAGGGCGAGGCGTGGGGCCCGTGGGGCGCGTGGGGCGCGTGCTCGGCGGACTGCGGCGGCGGACAGCAGCGTCGCGAGCGCAGCTGTCGCCGGCCGCCGTGCGCGGGGCCCGCTGATATGCTGCGACCCTGCAACACGCACGCGTGTACAGGTGATACATACACCCGACTGCATATGCTCTATGATCCCCAGTCCCATTCAAACGGGCATTAAAACTACGACGCCCTGATCTAGGATTTTTTTCGAATTCGAATTCTTAGCGGTGCCGTCATCCTGAAGTCGTATTAATTAATCAGGCTTACATTGGTTTGGAGACTTTGGAGTGCCATCTGCATTCGTCCCCTATCATCCGGTGAAGTTGCGCAAATATTTTATTGCATGACAATTATCGTGTATACACAACTTTATCACTTCCATGATCAGCTCATCTGTCATTCCATTTGGGATATCAAAGCGAGTCAATATATATATTAAATATTTATAATGAGTTATGTGGTGGTTGTCAGGCGAGTGGTCGTGCTGGAGCGAGTGGAGCGCGTGCGCGGGCTCGTGCGCGGGCGGCGCGGTGTCGGGCTCCCGCGAGCGCACGCGGCGCTGCCTGTCGCCGCAGGGCTGCGCGCACGCCGACGACGCGCGGCAGCGGCAGGGCTGCATCGCGGACTGCGCCGCCACAGGTCACTCTCATATCTATCTCATTAAATTTTCTGCACTGTGGCAACCCTATTAGACGGATAGGTAAAAAGCCTTTCAACACACTCGCTCGTAAAGTTGATCTTATTTTACCGGTTTTCGATATTTTTATTTTGAAGCAGCTTATAAAACAAGCATGGGTTATAAACGCAAATATTGAATTTATACGTCGTACGATATACGTGCGTATTTGACCTCGGCTCTGTTACATCCTCACCTTTGGCTCAGACTGAAATTCCGCCTAGTGTTATATAACTTACTAGCTGTACCCGCGACGTCGTCCGCGTGGTATTTAACATTATTTTTCTAAAATAAAAGTAGCCTAAGTCCCGTCAAAATCGGTCCAGCCGTTTCAGAGATTACCCGGAACAAACAGACAGACAGACAAAAATTGTAAAAAATATTATTTTGATGTATGTACCGTATTTATATTCATATGCATGTAGTAAAAATCGGTTATTTCAATATTATAAACTATCATAGCGTATTTACACTACTATTACAATAGTATATGACAAAAAATACAATACAATATTTATATGTTACTTACTACTAATTAACTACTAATTAATTTGATGCTCATTTGTGTACAGAATCAGGATGGGGTGAGTGGGGCGAGTGGTCGAAGTGTAACAACGGGGAACGCGAACGCAAACGCAGTTGTCCGGCCGGACGCTGCGTCGGACCGCGGCTGCAGGTCGGACTCTGCGACGGTGATGATAATCTCATGGACAATGGTATGTATCCCGATGTTTTTATCGTAATAGTATCCTTATCGTATCCTTGGACAATTCATACAGCGCCATCTAGTCTCAAGTTTAGCAGAGCTTGTGTTATGTGTGCTAGACTTCTGATATAAATACATACATAATAACATAGAATACACCCAGACTGATACAAACAAAGTAATAAATACAAATGTTTGTATTTATTAGTATGATTATGTATAATTAGTGATGATAGTATAGTAAAGTATATGATAGTATGTAAACTGAGTGAGAAATCGAACCCACGACTATCGGAAGCGCTTAACCACTAGACCAATCTTTTTTTGTAAAAAGAGTTCGCTATGAATTTTTTGTTTCATAGCTAAGTCTTTTTACAAAAAAGACGCTACTGATAACTTCAAATTAGAGATTAACTTGTTATAAACGCATTTTTGAAGATTGAATTAGGGATGTTTGTAATATTTTATCCAATACGATTTACCATTAAATAATGTATCTCTCTCTTTCATGGAAATAATACAGAATCGATCATAACCTAAATAAAAGATTGTTTTTTACTCAAATTTAAACACGTATCGTCGCGGTATGCAGTTATCAATAAACATGATTTTTTACCATAGATCTACATGCGATGGCTGCGTACAGCCAAAATGCAGAAGTGGTGTCTTTCATAACAACGCCACAAAACAAGGCGCTCAGTGCCGCCAGTGTCACTGGGTACGCAGTGATTGCCTTTCTTGCTGGTAAGTAAATAACATCTTATTTGCGCATGTTTTATTGCAATTGAAATTAAATATTTTAATTACTGACAAATATGTACAGTTTAAATCAAATATTTATTCATGTAGGTCTCTTACAGACACTTGTGATAAGTCAAATCTACCGTCCGTTCAGAATGTAGTTCGAACCGAGAAGTGAACACAGAACCCTGTCCTTACTCTCTTTAAATGTACACTATAAAATTAATAAGCCAAATATGAGATAATAAATAATTAATAATAAATAATTAAGTTATAAAATAAAAAAAATATTATAGTGAAGATAGAAAGATGGAGAAATTGTAAAAAGTTGGTCATAGTCATAGGAGTTTCGGAAACATTTGTTTTTCACTTTGCCAACAGTTTTAAGAAACAAGTAATAGATGGAGTTACATGTATACTGTTCGCACGCTACTACATGACTGTTTAGTTTTAACAATCGCCGATAGATGGCGGTATTCCAAATAAAATGAAAATATTGTCCTAAAATGATTTTTAGACAAAGTTGTCACTAAGGTTACATTATATATATTTTTTATACGTGTTAATTAGTAGAAGATTTTACTTTGGGCTAGATTTTTTTTAAATTAATTTATGTCTCATCGGACATTAATTCATATGTTCTGAATCACGCTATCAACATTTTCTATGAAGTTAGTATATAGCCAAAGATTCAAATATTAAATTTTGTGTCTATTGAAAGGAGAGACGGTTAGCACTCCCCTTGACAAGGATGGAACACACAAAATGGTTAAGGCACAACTTGACCACATTTTTTTAACATAATTTATAGAGTTATTTTTAATTGATGTAGAATTGTTGAATGAGAAATTATATCTAATTTCACTCCGGTCGAAGTATAAAATGCACTGTTTCTATTTTAATGAATTATTTAAACATATTGGATGTAGTAAATATATATTGTAGAAAGTGGCCGTATCGTATATAACTATAGATATAGAAGAGACATTGTTTAAATATAGATATGGACAAAATATACAAAATATGGATAAGTCAAGGTATTCCAATGATTGAAATTTGGGACTGACAAATTAAAAATCACAATGAAATATATTTGTACATATATAGTATATATCTAACATTTTTAACGACTTGAATTTTTATAAAGTGTCAAATATGCGCCATAAAATCAACTATAATTTCTATAAGCATTTTGTTTCTATAAGCGCTTTGCCAGTCTGTTACTAAAAACAATTTGTATTGTTACAGGATGCTTGGTATCCCTGATAGGGGTGTTGCTATGGCGGCGGAGAGCTGGAAAAGATTGGTGGCGAAGAAAAACGCATGTGCCTTCCAGTCCTCACTATATGACGGCAACGCAGAACAGCTACGTCACCGTGCCACTCAAGGATGTGGTTAGTACTTCTTTGAAACTACCATCAGCTTCCAATATGTCTGAAGGCATTAATGCGGTCCCACTTTTACTTATTCTTTTATCTATTTCTGCTGTTAAACATATGTGTATGCACACCCGAAGGTCATAATTATCATCATCATCATCATCATTAGTACATCATAACAATAAACCATTATTTACCAATTGCGGAGAACGTCGAGGGCACTACCCTTTTTTCCCAACTTGAACTCGAAGATTCTGAGTTCGAATGTCCACGCCTAAAACTTGTTAAATTATATGTATGATTGATTCTTCGATGATGGAAATTAGTAATAAGTCTTCATCCTGTTCATCTATAGAATGTCATAAGAACCGATTACGAGAAAAAAGTACGCTGTCTGATTACGGTGTCTATAAAATAGGTCAACAATACAAAACAATGTCTGATAATATTAATGTTATTTTTCAAATCCTGCAGCCTCGGAAAGCAAAACGACAACCGTCTTTTATTGGCATCGGGGGTTCCAGTGGCATCCTGTTGTCCAAAAGCAATAACATATCCAATGCTAATAATCACAATAATACATCAGCTACGCCCAAATTGTACCCGAAGGCGATTGCTAACGAGTACGACTCTATGGGCACGCTCCGGAGGCATTCTAACCAGCCTAACAATAAAAGCAATTTGGATGTGGAAGAAGATAAGTTCTATTGATCTGTGAAAGACGATTTACACTTTGTTTAGTGTATGATACTCGTTACTGGACGCTCAATCATAGTTAGTTTTACTGAACTGTCAAGGGTGTTTTACACATTGTTTAGTGTATAGTGCGTGTTACTGGTTAATACTAGACATTCAGACAGTCTGTTTTACTAATCTATCAAGAGTGATTTACACTTTGTTTAGTGTATAGTGCAAGTTACTGATTAGTACTAGACGCTCAAATACAGTTAGTTTTACTAATATGTCAAGGGTGATTTACACTTCGTGTAGTGCATAGTGCTAGTTACTGATTAGTTATAAACACTTAGACAATCAAAGTTTTGTGATGAATGAATAGTGAAGGTATTAGTAAAATTATATGTGGATATTGAACCGAGTTTGTCTCAGAGTTACTGTCATTAGTTGCTCGCACTCGCACATATCATGTTTGAACTGGTAATTAATAAATTTAGTGTTGTTTACACTTGACTAGTGTATTGCTTAAGTGCCAGTTAAGATTTTTGGGTAAACTTTACAATTTTTTATTCCTAATGATTTTGATATGACTGTGAGTTATTATCTAACTTTGTTTTAAATTTTGTTGATATTTTGAAAACATAGAAAATTTTATATAACAATTTCAGGTAATGGTTGATCTGAATCTCAATTGTTTATGTTAAAGTATTGTATGTTTGTTTGTTTCTTATTTTTTATAAAGATTTAAAAAAAATACTGAAATATATTGAAAGGGCCTCGATTTATTTGGATGTGTATGAATGTTTGTTTACTTTTATAATAATGAAAATGCTTGCTAGGGAGGCAATCAGTTTTTAATTTTAATAATGAATTTTCTATGTTTATATGCAGTGTGTGCGTGCATGTGTTGTAATGTCATACTTTGTAGTGATAGGGTGAATAGATTTCAGCCATTATTTTATTGTTGAATTTTAACTTTATGTATAATAAAGAATTTTCGAGTACTTACTTATTTTATGTGATTATAAATGTTATAATTTTTATGTAAGTAGCTAATAAACCCAGTGCCATTTTAAAATTGTAATTAATAATTATTGCGAAAACAACGATTTTTATATAGGTTTTAAAATATGTTAAATGTAATAAATATATAAATAAATTATGTTGTAAAACGCAAATTATGTGCCATGTATATAGGTAGTAAGATAGTAAATGTATTTTTGATATCAGATGATAGTGATACCCAATTCCATATAAACATATCCTTAATGTATTTAAGCAGTACAAATAAAGTGCCTTTGAGACAATATTCATTGAATAGATTTAAAAACAATATTTACAACGAAATAGAAATTGCCTATATATCTTGTTGATGGTTTTTCAACATTTTACGCGACTCATGTTGAGTCAAAATTGTTATTTAAGTGAGATTGTTTAGTGCGTAGCTTGCGTAGTACCCATATAACGAGGTAAAGAATTTTGTATGGGCATTATTAAATAAACACGTTTATAAAATATATTTCAATTCAAACAAGTCGTTTGTAATTTTATTTTTCACAACTGAAGTATGAATGAAAGGGAAATATATATAGTAATAATGATACACAATTTCAATTAATTATAATAACAAATGATTAACGATACCTCATTTTACCTCATGTTGTGAATAATTTATGACGAAAATTAGAACGTCATTTTGAATATTATTTTACTGTTTTTATAGGGCATATTTGACTGATCTGCCATCAATGTACAGCAAGTTGTCTCGGTTATTTTGGTACTACGTAGTCCGCCGTACCTAGTATTTTGTATTTTTCTACAATATGAATATTGTTATAATGTTAGATTAAGGTAATACGTTTTAGAACCTGTTATTACTGTAAATTTTATGTCTTCCACACACAATACTTTATACCATCTACAGAGTTAGGGTCAAAGAAGTACAAAAGACTTAGATTTATTACAAAGTAAAATTGCAATTATTAGAATTAAGCATGATAGAAATATATTTGAATACACATATGTAATGTCGTAGATCATTGCCGCACAATATCTACGCCTCAATGTCATGGTTAGTAAGTAGTTGACAAAAAAAAACCATTGTCAGAATCAGAACATAAACAAAATTGAAAAAGAACCTTAAAATATAATGAATATATGTTGTACTGAAATGTTTGACTTTAACTTTGTGGATATGAATAAAAACAGTTTATAATTATGATTGCTTAGTAAATGTTATAATTTAAATTGAATTATGTACCATTGTTGTGGGTCCTTTACATTAACATGTCGCCCAAAAGTTGTAAAATATAATTAATTACACAATGTTGTACGTATTATTTAAGAGGCTTTCTCAGAATAAGCTCACCGATAGCTGATTTAAATTTCTAATTAGTTATTTTACTTGTGATATGTTATACAATATACAGTATGTACAGACTAAAAATATAATGAATTATATTTATGATGATGCTTTCTATTCTATAAAGGTTTATAATTTTCTTGGACAGTATAATTTTTATTTTCCTTAGTTGTTTTAAAACCTTTCAAACATAAACACGCACAGACGTTTGTTTGCGTGATATCTAGCAAACTTAATCTATTTTAATATATACCACGCTTATGGATTATTAATAATTATGCAGTAGAGTAAAAGAAAGAAAACTTGACACAAATTCCATGCTGTAATCTTTATTTTTGATAGTATCAAAGTCAAAATGTTTAGTTTATTTACACTGTGAGTATATAACACACTCGATTGTTATATTTAAACCTATGAAGTCGCATGACGTGTCTGAAATCAGTACATACATACATACAAAAACATTACCAAGATAAAATCAATATATTCCATACATTCATTATTTGTCCGCATTGAGCAAACTGAAAGTGTGCCGGATTTTATTGTATATCGTATGTAGAATTTATTGTTCAAGGATTAAAGTTTCGTCTGTAGATCATATAGTTTATTTGTACTTCAAATTAAAGTCTACTCTTGTAAGTCAACTTTGTTGTCGGGCCAGTTTAGAGACAAATATTCGATGCTAATTTTTATGGCGATATCTCTCCAGATAACTGTGGATATGAATAAAAACAATTTCTATTATACTGCCTTTACCTACGAGGACCCCAGATATCCCTTATCTGGAGTTTTCATCGGTAAAGCCAGTACAATAGAAAACAAGTTGGTATATTATATTTACAACAGTTATTTTTAGTGAATATATTTTGGAGTGTTTATTTACGGTTGTATCCTAAGACTATACGCTGTATCTGTTTTCATAATGTGGGTTATTTTAGAAAAGGGACAGGAGATCTTTACCTTTATTTAAGGATATGCTGGAGTTCAATTTTGACAGTAATGTAACCTACGTTAGTGCCGCAGTATCACTTTGTACAAATTGTGATTTTATTTTTAGAAAATCCTTCCGATGTAATTCCGTCATTATTTGCAGGGGGTCATTTTAATCCGCTGATACGCCGCAGCACTTGGTTACTACTAGGTTTTTTAATTATCTTCACAATGACTATTGCTAATTTTACTTCTTATTATACCAGAACTTCACAAAATCGGAATAAATATTATTTTTTTAATTTCGTCTATACTATAGTTTTTTTTTAAATATGATATTGAGTTGGGCGATTGAATTGAAATAATAGGCACAAACAACATATCTACAGTGAAAATGTAACTTTAGACAACAACATTATTAATAATTCAAGCGTTATCTATACCATTCCTTAAATGTATCTAAATATTTTTTATTACAAGTTTCTGTCGATTATTCTAACTATAATCTACTTTAAATAAAAATAAAGACTGTCATAATTAATATCGTATTTTTTATTATTAACAACTTATAGACTATTTTGGATATACGATTCTAGGAATTCTTGAAATATTCGAATTAACTGGACCTAATGTATTTCATGATTCTGTTTTATAATGAAAAATAAAGCCATCGTGAGAAAGTTGATATGGTATTATTACGGAGTTGAATCATAATGGATATTGGTTAAGACTATTGTCAATAATCAGTTAATAATATATTATGAGGCCATTCCTGTTCAACCAATGACAGGATAAGTATTCTATCTTTCTCTTCATCCTATCATCCTTAAATAGTGTTTCGCCAGTATGCCACAGAGAGATAAAGACGAGATCATCTATCATATTTCATTGTCATTTCTTTTTCTCAAACGGATGACAATGAAATATAAGAGAATAGTAATGAATGGTAAGTTAATAGTAATGGGTGTTGGGAAGAATACTAATAGCACTAGAAATTATTTCTTTTTTCTTAAATTCTTGTACAGGGTTAGTGGTGAAGTGTATACCAACCCCAGCAGTAATAGTACTCATGGAAATTCAATGTAATTTTTAAATATAAACTGACCAGTCAATATTCAATTTAGTACGATATTTATTTCCACTTATTTTCTTTAGTATCATGAGTAGACAATCTATCTAGCTTTAGCCTTAACGACAAAATCTATATAATATAGATCTATATATATAGTTCTACTATTCTTATTTACTCTATCCCCGGACAGATTGTATCGACGCCAGAAATCAGTAGGCAATACAAAATGTAACCAAAGATTTTCGACGGCAACTAAAGCGAGTCCGCGTATATATTCCGGGCACGTCGCAGGCACATTGTCACTATGTCGGTAGGTATTACCTATAATGATGGACGCGTGGTCCTTTGTCAAACAATCCCTTTGTATTATTTAAAATTCTGAAATTGTAGCCTACACTCATAGATTTCATAAACTATTTATTTAAATTGCAATGCACAAATATATAGGGGTCAGAACGCTAAGAGACGTAGATATTCTACCCGTGAACCAAAAATAGTAGCTAATAGGCGTATTTCTTTTTAGTTTAAAACTATAAGTAAATAAATGGAAACCAGTATTAATAGTCTAAATAACATAATGTGGAATATTCCAATTTGTACTATTTATTGATCCTAATCTATATGAGTTGAATCCTTGTAGGTAAGTACTTGCATAGTTTTTGTTTTCGGTTATATGTCTTAACATGTTTTATGATAAACAAGTTTTATAATTGAAAATGAAAACTATATAAATACAAACAAACTTACCTATATAACACTAAAATACACATAATAAAATAAAATAGTACTTTTGTAGGCATTAATAAAAAACTAGTAGGCAGTATTATCCATTAGTACTCTTTTCCTATGTTTCACATTGCAGTAGGTATTATTTTTAGGGTTTAGAGGCATATCACCTTTCTGCGGTGGTAGATATATGTTGAATATAGATATTTATTGCTATATGTATATTGAATAGTATATTGGAGGGAAGCTTCGAGCAACCATGAATATTTATGGTAAAACTTTATGAGGATCCTCGCAACGTATCCTACCCACTCCCGGATTGGCCATTTGTTTCAATAATATGTATCTAAATAGGTGTTTTCTTTGGAGATCTATATACATAAATAACATTTTATTACCTCGATGTTTCAGGAGTAATCACCAAACACAGGATCTGAGAGAATTCTTAGCTAATAATTGGCGTTGCAATATCAAGAACGAAAAAACAAGTTGTAATATGTTAT